TGATTTTAAACCTAGCTGTTGTTTTCATCCCAGTCAAGCAATACTTGCTACTGAGAAGCATTTTGGAAAGAGAAGTGGGTGGGTGGGAGTCCCTATATCATTTTTGATCCTTCTGCTATGGCTTCACCGATAATAGGAAAAACAGCCTGTTCTCGTCTCCTCCACCCCCACAAGTACACCTGTGGGCCTTGTGCAGAAAAGAAATGGTTCATAATGTTTATAAGTTCATAATCTGTATAAGTAATTTATGATGTATGGTATATGTTCATTTTTCTTCATTATTTCATGTTATTTTATTTGGTTAGTTGATGTTGATCTTTGTCTTATTTTTGTTGTTGTTGTGAACCTCCCAGAGTAGCCTTGGTAGCCAGGTGGGGAGTATAAAAATCCATTGATCAATCAATCAATCGATCTGACTGATTGACTGACTGACTGACTGACTGAATGAATGAATGGAAGATCAGTTGGTTCTTTTTGCTTTTGGTCTTTGGCTGCCACCAACATCTGGAACCGTCTGCCACTCCCCTTGCTTTAGGAATTGCTTCATGCCCAGGGGGTGGGGGGGACAAATATTGCCAGCAGAAACAGAACAGAGTTTTAGTGCTGAAGTGTGGCTTTTTGATGGAAGGGGAACATCAGAGACTGTTCTCTGCCTGCCCAAAGGGTGGAGAGTTCAGTTTCTGCCCCACCTCCTTTAGCATCCATGCTCTGACCTGCTAAGATCCTATACATTTTACAACCCTTGGCCCTGCCCTCTTCACTCACGGGTCGTTTGCTCCTTGTCCCTCTTCCCCCCCCCCCAAGAACCTACGCAGATAAGCTCAGCCCCAAAGTGGTTCAGTCCCTGCTGGACCTGCTGTGCAGCCAACTGAAAAACCTGTTATCCCAAGCGGGCGTGATGCTGATGGCTTCCTTTGGGGAAAAAGAAGACGGGGAGCAGGAACAGGAGGATGAAAAAAAGGTGGAATCGAATGGAGAAAACGAAAGGAAAGATTTCCGAGGTACTGGGCCTTCGTAGCAGTATGGCTGTGTCCTGGGGGGGGATTACAGCCGGGGGGGTGTTAAGGAGTTAATCACACCAAGGGTGGCCCGCGAAGACTAACGTGGGATGGGGTAGTTGTCCTGCTCCCCTTAGGGCATCCCCTGTCGTCCTTGGCTTGGGTTTGGGTGCACGGAAGGGAATTACGTGAACCCTATCAGAGCATTCTCTATTTTTAAAACTAGCCTCTTTGGCCGTGTCCTTCCCTTTTGGCCCCCTCCCCCTTGGGAGCACGGGACGATTGGCAAAGCTGAAAAATAGCCCCTGGCCTCGCTGAATAAGCCCACCCACCCCTTTAATGCTTAGAGGACAGGAACACAAGCATTGTAAGGTGATGCTGCTTCCTGGAACAAGATGTGGGCATATCACGTGTTGTTCATTTACTTTACATGAAACATTTCTAGGTGTTCATTGGCTGAGAACGCTGCCCAAGGGGGCTTCCCATAGAACTGGCAAAAAGGAGTGGCTGGCACTCCAGAGACGAAAGCAGACCAGATCAATAATTCAGTGGGGAAATGGCAGCGTAGCCAAAATGTGTTTTCCTGTCAGCATGGGAGGCTATGCAGGGTTTCTCTTCCTGCTGACCCTTCAGGCAGAATTTATGCAGATTAGGGCATCTCTGAAGAAGAAAAAAATGTGTCGGCACCTTCTTGAGGATGTGTTCTTTTTGACCCACAGTGGCTCTCCGGAAGCAGCATGCGGCCGAGTTACATTTAGGAGACTTTTTGGTCTTTCTCCGGAGGGTGGTTTCTTCAAAGGCCATTCAGTCAAAAATGGCTTCTCCAAAATGGACCGAGGTGCTCCTGAACATTGCTTCTCAGAAGTGCTGCTCAGGTAAGGGTGGCGCATGTCTATGCCTCGCCTTACAGAGGTTCACACCTATTAATGACTTGACAGTTAGTTGCAGAATCTCTGTTCCTTCTTACTTGATGAATGTTAGTGTATGGTCGTAGGTATTCCTGGGAAAGGGTGTCTGGACACACTGAGATCCGCTGAAAAGGTGGGTCAGCTCCTATGAGTTTTGTTGTGCCTTCATGAGAGCTAAAAGACCAATGTGGGGTTTTTGGACCTTAGCAAAATATGGGAGGTCTGCACAGAAATGTTTATTGGCATAATAAAAGAATGGGCAAAAATCCTGTTGGAATAGCAGAACGTGTATAGCGTGGTCACCATATTCTGGGCTGTCCCGGGCGCACTTCCTTGAGCCCAACCGCAGGATGGGGCCCTGCCAAAAGCAAGAAATGGTGGTGGTCGAGTGCCATAAAATCCATCAGCACCCTGGCCTTTGTGTTTTGTGCCAAATGCAAGGGCTATGTACTGTATGTGTGCTGCTCAAAAACACTCTCCATTGTTTTTTTGTGTGTGAAAATGTGCTGAAGTGTAAATGCAACAAAGCCTCTCATAATTTCACTCCAAGGGAGAGAAAATGTTCGAAACATTTCATTCCCAGTTGCCAGAATGATGTGAGCAAAGATTTCCTTCCTTTGACCGGGAGATGTGATGCCATTGTAAAAACTAAACATGCAATTCCAGATGTGACTGGGCGTATTTTTAGAAGTGAGCGGTTGTACCCACTTTTTGTCCGAACCCTGCTTTAGGTGTACCTCTGGTTGGCAATTTGAGGACCAGGCTGCTTGCCCTCCATGTGTTGGAAGCTGTGTTGCCTGCTTGTGAATCCGGTGTGGAAGACGACCAGATGGCTCAGGTCCTAAAGACTTTTCTCATTATGTTCTCAAATGTAATCTGTCGCTTTTACCACATGGAGGACTCTCACTGCATTTCCCTCTTTAAAGGGATGGGAAACTTGGCCACAGCGTCTTCCCCTGCCCTGCAGTCAGTCCCTGGCGGCAGGGCAGCTGCCGGGACATTTTCGGATGTGTCCATCATGCCACATTGCCCTTTTTGCCAAGCCTATTATTCTCCTTTGAGCGACAGGGGCCTTCTAAAGCTCTCCTAGGTAGATCTTCAGGTACCCACGGATAGTCAGTTAAGAACTGCTCGTTGGCTGTCAGTCTCACTTGAAGGAGTTGGCTAAACTTTGGAAGCCACTTTAATCAAGCTTGCCTTGTACTGGAAGGAAAGGAAGTGAGAAGTGTTTTTAAATTCACATGCTTTTAAGTTCCCATGGCTCTGAGACAGGGAAGCAGGGCAGGGACTGGAAGGAAAGGAAGTGAGAAGTGTTTTTGAATTTTTAAACATGCTTTTAAGTTCCCATGGCTTTGAGACTGGGAAGCAGGGCAGGGAAAGGCATTCTTCACCTTACTCGTCAACGGTTGGAATTTAAATGTTCTGAAATGATTTTGCCCAACAGGCAAAAACAAAAGAAAAAAAATCAAGAAAACAAAAATGGCATGGCACCTTAGAGACGAGCTGCTACATTTGAATGCACATTTTTGTGGACACGTCCACTTCCTCGGACCGAAGCGGATGTCTGAGGGAATGGACTTGTCCATGAAAGTTGATGTGAAAATATATAGCAATTAGTCTTTTAAGATGCCACGGCGTTTTTGTTTTCTTTATTTTTTAATGTTTCTTTAGTTTTGCCAAATACCCCCCGGCACAGACTCACACGGCTACCTCTTCTAAAACGACCCCTCTTCCCCCCCCCCCCCCGCCAGGTGATTGAGCGGTTATTCGCCCTTCTCTCTGACTGTATGTGGGAAAGTCCAGTTGCTCAAGCCAAGCACGGCCTTCAGATCAAGGAGAAAGAGCAAGAAATGAAACTGCAGGTAAGGGTTTTGGGCGAGAGCTAGCCGGGGTGTTTCCCTGCCAGGCTTGTTGGCTGAATATTGCCTTGTGAGCTGCTGTTCTTCTGCTTCTGGAAGAAACAGGGTGAATCGGAGGAAGAGGACGAGAACCTCCCCATCCAGGAGGTCTCCTTCGACCCCGAGAAGGCTCAGTGCTGCCTCGTGGAGAACGGCCAGATCTTAACACACGGCAGTGGCGGAAAGGGATACGGGCTCGCGTCCACGGGAGTCACTTCTGGGTGTTACCAGTGGAAGGTAAGGGGAACAGAGGGCTTATCCGAAAGAGAGAGACAAGGCCAAGCGTAGAGGTAATCTGTGATCCGTCTCTATTGGGGTGCCGGATTTTTCTGGGATTGTCACACCTCCGGTCAAAATGGAGATATGTTTCTGGGACTGGTAGCAGAGAACTTAAATTTTGCAACCAGACCTCCATAGAATTTTTCAGCTCTGCAAACCGGATGGCCTCAGTTTTGATTCATAGCTTTTTCTCTCTGTGTGTGTTGAGGGTGGGTGTGGCTGGTGAGGGGCACCATTTTGTCTGTATCCGTTTTGAGAAGTCTGGGTAGAGGCCTCGTGGGGCCGCTTGCCTTGTCCGATGAGGCCAGAGGATCATTGGGTCATCTGAGAAACAGTAGGCTGTTTGGCCCAGTTAGAAACACAAATTAGCTCCAAGGGAATATTTCTCTTCCTCCTGGCCTCTGTGTTACTTAGTCCTGCTCAGCAGGAGTTTTTGAAACCTCTCTGTGCTGTTTGTGGTTTCTAGTTCTACATTGTGAAGGAGAATCGAGGCAACGAAGGGACGTGCGTGGGAGTGTCTCGGTGGCCCGTCCACGATTTCAACCATCGCACCACCTCTGATATGTGGCTGTACCGGGCATATAGTGGCAACCTCTACCATAACGGGGAGCAGACCCTGACGCTGACGAGTTTCACCCAAGGAGACTTTATCACTTGTGTGTTGGATATGGAAGCGAGAACCATTTCCTTTGGCAAAAATGGAGAGGTAGGGGAGGAAACGGCATTCAGTCCCCGTCCCCCCCATCCCTGTGAAATCTAGGTCACGAGAACCACCACCAGGAAAAGAAAAGAAAAAAGGAGGCAAAAACAAAGGGTGGGGCCAAGTATTTCACCACGTTTTAACTTCAGAGTTGTTCCTGGTAGCAGAAATGTGGGGGAAAGGCTGGAAAAAAACACCCACAGGATGTCCCTGGGGAGGAGCCTGATTAGGACCCAGGAGGGCCGGATTCGGCCCCAGGGCCTGCAGTTCCTAGGTGTGATCTACTGCATTCTCAGTGGAAGGAAACGGGAGAATGTGTCAGTTTTTATCTCCGGGAAGTAGAACTTCTCAGGCTGTAGGACAGATGCTCAGGGGCAGCTCCTTCCCGGATGGAACAGGGAGCTGGTGGGGGTGAGATCGGGACTGTGACTCTGATGGCCCTTGAGGTAATGGCCTCCTCTGTGTAGTCATTGTTTCTGAATTCCTCAGTTTGATAACATTTAGAAATAATGGTGTGTCCTTTGGGTTTTTTTTTTAAGGATTAAGCAGCCTCTTATAAAATGGGTGGCTGAAATGGACAATTGGGGAGTCCTGCCAGCTTAACTCTTTTTTTTGTTCGGTTTTTTGTTTTTGTTTTGATTTGCTGGCTTTTCCAGGAACCAAAATTGGCTTTTGAAGATGTGGATGCTGCAGAATTATATCCTTGTGTGATGTTTTATAGCAGTAACCCTGGAGAAAAGGTAATTGAAATAGGATGAAAATGAATTGCCCCTGCCATGCGAGCGCTCCAGCCTGTGGGACCCTGACTTGGGAAGTGCCTTTGACATCTTCCACACAGATATTTCCCCTACCGCTCCACCTCTAAATGGCTAAACTCTTAACAAATCTGTTTCTCTCTCTCTCTGTATCTTTGTTGTCTTTATCTTCGTTTATTGGTGCAAATTTCTTGTTTCCTAATCTTAATATATGTTTATTTTAAAATGTAATTTGTTAAGCATTCTATATTTTGAAGTATTTTGGAACAATATGGAAGGGTGAACTTTGTTCACACAAGTCTGTCATTATAGCAAAAATTTTGTCCTGCTATAGCGTCTCAATGAAAGTATGTTTTGCAGCTACCAAAAAGCAAAGCAAATAAAAGCACCCCTCAACTCCCTCTATTAAATCAGATGTCTTGTTTACAAATCATCATGGAATCGTGGCACCATGGAGTTGGAAGGGGCCTCTACAGCCGTTGAGTCCAATACCCTGCTCAATACAAGAAATTCAAATCCAAACAGATCTTAATTTGTCTTAATTTTCTCTTGGAGGCCTCCAACGTTGGAGCGCTCACCACCACCTCCCCTCGAGGTCATGGGTTCCGTTGTCGTACTGCGCTAGCAGTTAAGATTGTTTTCTTGATATTCAGACTAGATCTGACTTCCTCTCACTGGAGCCCATTATTCCGTGTCCTTGGAATGAGCAAGAGAACAGACTGTGTCCTTTCTCTCTAGGAATACCTTTCAAGTCTCTGCTCAGTCTTCTTTTCTCCAGGCTAAAAGTGCCCAGTTCTTTTAGCCTTTCTTCCTAGGGCTGGGTTTATCCACCCCATCATCCTTCTTTGTTGCCCTCCTCTGAACCTTCTCCAGTTTGTTGACAGGAAGATGGCTAAGTGAATTTGCTCATCTTCCGTGTGTCTCTGCCTAGGTCAAAATCTGTGACATGCAGATGCGTGGCACCCCACGGGACTTGCTGCCGGGGGACCCCATTTGCAGCCCCGTCGCCACGGTGCTCGCGGAGGCCACGATCCAGCTCATCCGCATCCTCCACCGGACAGACCGCTGGACGCACTGCATCAACAAGAAGATGATGGAGCGGCTCCACAAGATCAAGCCCTGCCTGAAGGAAGCCGGTCAGAAGCTCAAGAAGAGCCGCTCCGTCCAGAGCCGGGAAGAGAGCGAGGGGCGGGAGGAGAAGGAGAGTCGGGAGGAGGAGAAGAGCAAGCCCGGCGGGGGCGGCCGGCACGGGCTGGCCGACCTCTCGGAGGCCCAGCTCAAGACCCTCTGCGTGGAAGTGTGGCCGGTCCTGGCTGTGATGGGCGGGGTGGACGCCGGGCTGAGAGTCGGAGGCCGCTGCGTCCACAAGCAGACCGGGCGCCACGCCACCTTGCTCGGCGTGGTCAAAGAAGGCAGCACATCCGCCAAAGTCCAGTGGGACGAAGCCGAGATCACAATCAGGTACAGCGGACCCCATATCGACCTCTGGTGGATAACTTGGTGGGCTCGAGAATGGCCATAGGGGCTTCGGACGGGGCAGAGCAGTTCGCCTGTAGCTGCGCCCATTAGCTTGCTGGGAAAAGAGAGGCTGCTTGGGGCGGTTCACCACTGGCAGGGCTTGAAGGCTTTTGCTTCCTTTTGTGGGCAAGTGAGAAGAGTGTGGGTCTTGACACAAGCCAAACAACATCATTTATCATTTGAAACATCCCAGAGGCAAGACAGGAAGAGGCGGAGCGTGGGGGGGGGTCGTTATACAGTGGCAGCAACAAGAGCAGAGAGAGTTCTCTGGCATGTCAGAATCCTGAAATCATGGAGCGGGAAGGGGCCTCGAAGGCCATTGAGGCAGCTCCCCTGCTTGAAGCAGGGATCCAAGTCCACGCAGATCTGACTGAGGGCGAGGGCCTCCAGTGTCAGAGAGGATCGGATCGGATCTCTCTGCCGGCCTGCCCTTCTGAAGCTTTTGGCAGGAGAGGGCTTTTTTAAAAAATTGCTCAGTGCAATCCATGAGCTGGGAGGGCCCTTGTAGCAGTGGCTCTTCCAGGCAGGGAGCCCCTCTGTGTGCTGCCCAGGACACTGGCCAGGCCTTCCCGTTTCGTCCTTTCGGGCGGCACTTCCCAAAAGAAGCACCTCTGAGAAAGGGACCTTTTGGGATGATGGCCGTCTCCCAAGCAGTAGGCCCTGCTGACGGAGGGCGGGGTGGGGATTCTGAAAGGGGATCATTCAAAGAGGCACCTTTTCCTGGCTGGCTGGGATGTGCCATCCAGAGAAAATAAATGTTTCTACATGAGCACAATCCGCTCCCCCCCCCCGTTGCGTAGTGACAAACTGTGTGGCGTATTGGGCATTAAATGTTTTGTTTTGAAGGCACCCACACGCTTTGTTACCCTTTGTGTTGAGTATCACCTTTCCCCATTACCACAACCCTCATTTCTTTCCTCTCATTCACACTGATTTATTTTCTTAAGACTGTCAGTTCATTTAGACTTTGATTAACTATATTTTACGTCTTATTTTGCCTACATTATTTCCTGTGCTTTCCTCCCGTCTCTCCCTCACTTGCTTCTTCCTGTGTCATTCTGATCTTTATTAAAGCTTCCCAACTTTTTGGTCGCCTAGTGATACCCCCTTGTATAATCTGGAACCTTGCGAGCCCCTGCCTTTTGACGTTGCGAGATTCCGCGGACTGACCGCCACTGTCCTGCTGGACCTGACCTACCTGACGGGGATCCATGAAGACCTGGGCAAGCCGAGCGCCAAGCGGCATGAGAAGAAACACAAGCACGACTCGGAAGACAAAGGAGACGTCGACCAGAAGCCGGAAGGCGATCCTGCCTCTGAGGCGCAGCCCGTGCCAAGCGCCGAGGAGGCCAAGGGACCCGGAGCCTCGAGCGCCAGATCCGAAAACGAAATCCCGCCTTTCTCTTTAGAATCCATTTCTTTGGGCGTGGAGGGCCAGCATCTGAACGCCGAAGGCAAAAGGAAGAATCACGAGAATCACGCTCCCAAGAATCACGACGTTGTGCAGTCGGAAATCCGGGCGGTGCAGTTGTCGTACCTCTACCTCGGGGCGATGAAGTCACTCAGCACTCTCCTGAGTTGCAGTAAATACGCGGAGCTGCTGCTGATCCCCAAAGTCCTGGCGGAGAGCGGTCATAATTCAGACTGTGCGAGCTCTCCCGTGGTCCACGAAGATGTGGAGATGCGGGCCGCCTTGCAGTTCTTGATGCGCCACATGGTGAAACGGGCGGTCCTGCGCTCGCCCATCAAGAGGGCGCTGGGGCTGGCGGACCTGGAACGAGCGCAAGCGATGATCTACAAACTAGTGATTCATGGACTGTTGGAGGACCCGTGTGGTAGCAAGATCAAGCAAGGTAGGCTGTCGAGGCTCTGAAGGGCTCGCTTAGATCCTGTTTCCTTCTCTGCTTGTGTCCCTGTAAAGGCTGCGGGACGGCCAGCACTTACCCCTGCAGAGGCTGAGGGGTGGTGGGTATTGTGGCGCTACCCCAGTGGAGGTCAAGCTGCCGTCCTTATATCTGTTCATAGTCAAGTTTGTTTGTACCCATGCTTGTCAACAGCCTCTCCATGTTCGCTTTGTTTAGCTTGCTTTTTAAAAAAAGAGCAACGTGTGCTGCTTATATACCACCCGACAGCACTTAAAGCACTCTCTGGGCAGTTTACAATTTAATTATGCAGGCTACACATTGCCCCCCTCCCCACCCCGGAAAGCCGGGTACTCAGTATACCAATTTTGGAAGGATGGAAGGCTGAGTGAACCTTGAGCCAGCCACCTGGGATTGAACCCAGATCTTGAGTGAGAGTTTTGAGCTCGGCTTCTCCCTCCTCCACCTTTCCACAGTTGTTTGATAAACACCGTGTGTGTATTCTTGTGACATTTCCACAAGGACATTTGCCCAGTAAGATGAAAGTTCTAGCTGGTAGAGACTGGGAGGGTGTCTCTGTTCAGAGATGCAGGGCCAGTTGTGTAATGCTGTTTCCGTCGGAATCTCCCAACATGGCCTTGAAGCCACTTGGCTTAGATGTTGGGGAGATCTGAAGAGCTAAGGAGGAGACCTTCGGGACCCTGATTGCCACCAAGGGAGACTCTTCAGATCTGAGGAAGGTGTGGAGAGGGGGAGAGAGAGAGAGAGAGAAGGCGGGGTGGACGGGGACCCTCAAGAAAGCCATTCCTTTTCTGCGTTCTTCCCATGGTTCTCTGACTAGCATCCTTTTGGCTTTCATGTAAGGCATGCGCAGCTTGCTGTGGTCTGAGACAGGTCCTTGACCAGGTGGCACCCTCGGACCACAAAAGTGCCCCAATCCATTAGCTGCTGCCAATTGCGCCGAGTCTGTAGATGATGAGCCCCAGAATTCTGGGCTGTTGTGTCAGAAGCTCTAGGAAAAGGGTTGCCTTTCTCTGCAGAGCTGGACCAGCCGGCCGAGGAGAGCGACCCGGCCCAGCAGGCCCAGACCCCCGTGACCACGAGTCCCTCCGCCTCAAGCACCACGTCGTTCATGAGCAGCTCTCTGGAGGATACGACCACCGCCACGACACCGGTCACGGATACGGAAACCGTGCCTGCCTCCGAGTCGCCAGGCGTCCTGCCTCTGAGCCTGCTGAGGTGCGTATGGGCCGAGGGATGGCCTTGCTCTCGAGGAACAGCCCCGGCCAGCTTGTCGTCATCTTGCTCCTTGGCGTCGTATTTCTTGCTTTCCGAAAAGATTTGCAAATAGCGTCAACAAGTAGGGGCACCAAGTAAAGCAGTGTGAGAAGAAGCCCTTTTCTCGTGGGTCACTCTTTTTAAAGGCAGCCCCCTTTCCTGGCTAATCTGAGGTGCAACATTGTTCTCCCTCCACTGTTCATGTAACGCTGATTAATCTGCAGGGCCAGACTGAGATTATTGGGAAGTGTTAGTCATCGCCATGTCCCTAATGGCCTCAGATTGCTTCTGAAACATCTTTGAAGGTTCAGAAGTGATGGGTTCAAAACCAGGAGGGATGTTCTGGGGAGGTGGCCCACCCTGTGAGGAGGCCCTGAGGTTTCCGAGATTCCATATAAACCACTCTCCTTGGTTGATTACAGTCATTCCTAAGAATATGGAAGAGTCCATCTGTTTTGATCGCAAGGTTCTGCGATGCGATCACTTTCTGTTTTCTTTTCCTTTCTAAAAAAAGGCAAATGTTCTCCAGCTACCCCACAACAGCTGTGCTTCCAGCCAGACGGGCCCAGACTCCCCCCATATCCTCTTTGCCGACATCTCCCTCCGACGAGGTGGGCAGGAGACAATCGCTCACCTCTCCTGACTCCCAGTCTGCGAGACCCACCAATCGCACGGGTAAGATGCGTCCGCAGCCTTTGCAAAAGGGGTGAAGGCCGCTTCTCGGTATATGGCTTCGTCCTGGCCTCTTGTCAGTCAGGACCCTCAAATGCCTCTCTGTTAACGTAACCGCTCGTGGGGCCAGGAAGCTGAAACACAGGCGTCCAGGCCTTCCTGAGGACTGCGGGGCTTTCAGTAAGACCTCATTCTTAAGCAGCCATCGCTGCCTCTTCTGTAAATTTTGTTATTGCCTTTATGACTTCGACCAAGGCAGAAGGGTTTCCATTAGTAGCTTTTCCAATAATGTTTCTTGTTTGGAGCTCAGAGACATTGTCTAGTAACTCTGTAGGTGCTAGAATTTGTCAGCCAATCCATGGGCTAGCTTGTTTCTAGCGGATGGTTCTACAGGACAAGCCACTAGTCTGGTTGCTGTGCTTCTTACTGTCTTATCGCCACACCCTTGCAAGAAAGACGAAGGATCAGTGAGTGCCTTTTTGAGGTCCTCTTCTAAAACAAATTCATTTTGCTCCCCTTCAGAAGAGCTGCTTCCAGTGTTCTCTTTGCTTCTCTCTCCGCTGACCAGAGGCAGTGTGGGAAAGAAAGGTGGAGTGAACTCTGTGGCTGCTGCCAATTTAGACTAATCCTTCCCTTCCAAAACCCACAGCTTTGTCAGACCCGAGCAGCCGCCTTTCCACCTCTCCTCCTCCGCCTGCGATCGCCGTGCCCTTGCTGGAGATGGGCTTCTCCCTCCGGCAGATTGCAAAAGCCATGGAAGCGACAGGTAGGGTCTTCCATCTGCCGTCAGTGGGTCTGCAGGATTCAGCCACACACATGGCCGCTTTTAATAGATGGTCTGCGTGTTGCTTCCCTAATCAGGGATGCGGTTGTGAGTGGAGCTTTTCCTGGGTCTCCTAGGCGCCCGAGGCGAAGCAGACGCCCAGAACATTACCGTCCTGGCCATGTGGATGATTGAGCACCCTGGGAATGAGGAAGAGGAAGAGCCTCAGTTGGAGGACTCGGCAGATTCTCGCCACAGTACGGCCGTTCCCGGGGGCGGTGGGAAGTCCAGCGACCAGTGCTACCTGCAGTCTCCTGGGGACATCCCTTCAGTCGACGCCACCGAAATGGAAGAAGGCTTCATCTAAAGGTAAGGTGCCCTTGTTGTTGTTGTTTTTTTTCCCAGGCTTCCCACACAAACCCCGAGCCTGAGCTTTTCCCATGATGGGAGCCCCCAGCCCACGTCCATGAAGTCTTGTTCATTACTAAAAGGGTAGCAGGTCCCAAAGAAACCTCCACAGCCCCACACAAGGCCGTGCTGGACAAATTCTTGGAAGGGACCCCTCTTGCTCCCCCTTAGTCATGATGATGGCAGGGTGCCTCCAGGTCCAGAAGTGTTGCCTCAGACTGTCGTGCTGAGGAACAGATGCCAGGTGGGCTGCCATGCCCTCATGCCCTCTTCCCGGGCACCTCCGGTGGGCTCCATGAGAAGCAGGCTGGCACCTCCGGGGGAAGATGGGCCTCGGGTCTGGGCTCCCCCCTTGCGTCAGGGATTCCCCCCCCCCTTTGTCTTCTGAAGTCCTGTGTGATTCCTCCCAGTCTCTCTTCCGAGAGAGGAGATGATGAAGCCAGGGGAGGGCAAGGGAGGAACCAGGAGCGGCGATTCAGGGAGGTTGACAGAAACTTTAAGAAATAACAATCGTATACATTTAATGATAAGTGGAGGAATAGCCTTGGATTCAGGCGGAAACTAAAAAGAAAACAGTCAGTTCTGAAAAGTTTCTTAAAAGGAGGAAAGGGAGCCTACCTGGTGAACTGGGAAAAGGAAAAGGGTTCATTGAGAAAGGAGGAGGAGGAGAGGACATGGCCGAGAGGGGGCTTCTGCTGTTTGGAGACGTGGTTTCCCTGGGCAGTGAATGGCCTCATGCACCGAACAACGTCCAAAGGGGTCCTGACCTCATCGTGACCTTGGCTTGGTGCACCTCTTGTGTTTGTTCAGTCCTTTCTCTCCCCGGCACCTCAGCCATCTCCCAAGAGGAAGGATGGTAGCCCTAGGTAGGACTCCTTTGCTTGAAAATGCCCGTAGGAGGACCCCAGAGTTTTTTGCTAGGAGGGAAGAATGAGAGGGGGGGTCACGACATCAGGCCGAGTGGGGTGTGTGTGGAGGAGACGGCCCTTGAAGAGCATTAAAGACCGAGGGCAAGTCAGTGTCAGCTAAAGAGGGTCACAGGGACTGGCCAACCCCTGCTGCAACCCCTTTGCAAATGGTCGTCTGTGCTTCCAGCCAGGACAACGTGGATCATGCTGAAAACGCTGCCTCTGGGAGCGGGCCCACCTCGCGGGGCCGATCCGCCGTGAGCAGAAGACACAAGTTTGACCTGGCTGCCCGGACGCTGCTGGCACGAGCCGGTAGGTGTCCGAAGAAACGTTTCCACGTGTTTTTTCCATTGATTTGGTTTCATTTACTGCAGACGAGATCTTAGAAGGTGCCCCTTAAGAATGAGGACATCGTAGGAGGAACGGCCTTTTCCAAATTTAAAAAAAGGCAGCTCTTGTGGCTCTTTGGTGTGACCCAGAAGCTGAAGCCAGGGTGGGCTTGTGACCGCTAGATGCTGCAGGGGGTTGGTGAACTTTTGAGTTCTGTGGTTCTGAGTTCTTTGGCCGCCTTGGGGGCAGATTCTCCAGGAGAATCTGGGACACAAGGAGTCCTTTGTCCTCCACCCCAGCTGCGCCTCTGAGCGTCTACCCTTCAGATCCCACTCCTCCTTCCTCACCCCGTGTGAGTAAAGCATTGTGTTCCTTTCTTTTGCGGGGATCCTTTTTAACTCTGAGACACTTGGGATTAGGCAAGATGAAAATGTGCAAGGGGGGGGGAATTCGGATGAGTTCTGGAGAATTCAAAAGCTTGTTCTAGAGTTCCAGTTGGCCCAGCCCCCAGGGTATTGCCTCCCTGTCGATACGGAGTCCAGGTCGCCTCACCACCCCCACCCCCTGCCAGATACGCTTCCCATATCAGTGTCTCCTGTCCATATAATCCTCCCGTTCTCTTAACACCCATTTTGCTAATCCTCGGCTTCCGTGTTAGCGAGAAGGCCCGCCTGTTGCTGAAATGTGAAATAAAGCCTGTGATTCTCTTCTCTGGTTTAAGCGGGATTGTACCGCTCTGTACAGGCCCATAGGAACCAGAGCCGGAGAGAAGGGATCTCCTTGCCGCAAGACCCCGGCGCTTTGTACGACTTCAACTTGGACGAGGAGCTAGAGATCGACCTGGACGACGAAGCCATGGAGGCCATGTTTGGGCAGGACCTGGCCAGTGATCATGACATTCTGGGAATGTGGGTCCCAGAGGTACTGGATTGGCCAACCTGGGTGTGTGTGAGACGGCAGCTGGGGCTGCTTTGCTTACTTCCTCCCTCCCTCCCTCCCTCCCTCTTTTGAAATAACCAAATAATCCTCTGTGTTACTAAGCCCTCGGCGCGTGTTCACGTTAGGCTTGCTCAGGCTTCCTTCGACAAGGCTCCAGCGCCATCCCCTGGCACAAGCAAATGGCCGTCCGTTCCTCTTCTCTGCCGTCTCCTGTCTGAAGCAGCTCCCCTTGACAGCTGGTGTTTTTCCTCTGCTGCTCCCCCTTCTTCCTTCCAGGAACAGTGAATACATAAACGCAGACCAGTTGTGTCCAGTTCTCCCTTTTTGAAAAAGTCACAGCTTTTAAAGAAATTATTGCACTGGCCTATAGAAATTGCAATCATCTTTCAGGGTCACGCTGGCTGTGTGGCGGCCCACAGACGGAGCAGAGTCTCCAGCTGGTCTTTAACCTGCCATGATTTGTCTCAGTTCCCTGGCACCCCGGCTGAAGCCACAAATGATATGTTGGACCCGCTTGGATTGGGATGCCGAAGGGGGGGGGGGGGGAGGGGGTTTAGACGCGATGGCCTTAGAGGCCCCCTCCCAAGGCCAGGATGCTAGGATGCCACGTGTGTGATGGTGCCGGATGCCTTTCCGATGGAATGTGCCTGATTCAGTGTTTTGTGGGCTTGTTATGACAAAAGTGTGTAAGTGTGTGAAGTTGGTTTGGTATGATTTTAATATAACAGTAAGCCATATAATACGCCTTTTGCATTTAGTTGATTAGCCTGTACATACCCGGATGCTTTTTACAGCTACTTGGGCTTCTGATGCTTTTCATTAAGCCTCTTGATGGAGTAACTGAAAACTCCATCGTTTACACTCCTAAAGAGGTCAAGTGCCACAATGAAGTAGTAAAGATATGGTTTATTTCACTGGTTCTTACTGCACGGTCCTTGATTTTGCTCTGTATAAGTTCTGAATGGCGTGGGGACGTCCCCTTGACGAGGTGTGATAAAAAGGAAAGGACCCAGCAGTGGATGCCGGGGGCCCTCCTCATGCACCTTGCGCAGCACGAGGAGCTAGATGTCATCCCGTGAGGCTGTAGGGAGAAGGCAGTGGGGGGGGGGGGAATCTTGCAGAAAATCTGCCTGCAGAGGATGTATGAAGGAGCAGGCCAGGCCAGCTTTTCTTTCTGACTTCCTAATTTATTGCACTGAGGGGTCTGTGCCCCCCCCCGTTGAGCTAGTTTGAATTAGTTAAGTCCATTACTGTCTTCCTTCACCACTCCCTAATCTAACAGCCCCTAGATAGGTTGGACTGCAAAATCCCATCATCCCCAGCCAGGATGGACGGACATTGGCTGCCCTTTCCCTCTCGTTTACCATCCCAATGTAAAGTCCCTTAGAAAAGAAAGCGAACCAGAGGCGCACTTTCGGAAAACGAGGGTGGGCAGGTGAGAAATTGTGCTGACTAGGCAGGCCTGGGCAGAACCGTTGTCCCGGTGGCTCGTGGAAATCCCGGAGTCTGTAGCCTTGAGCTGCTCTGACAGGTTTTCAGCATTCTGCCCGTTAGCGATGGTGCCTTAGAAACCAGCTGCAGCTCAGCACTGCTGACGTCACTGTGTTTTGAGGCGTGCCGTCTGGTTCCTCTCCCTGTGAGTAACTGCCTGATTATGTCGCGCAGCACGTGTGCGAATCGGAGGACAGGGAAGAAGCGGTGGTGTGTGAGCTGTGCGAATCCAGCGTGGTCAGCTTCAATCAACACATGAAGAGGAACCACCCCGGCTGCGGCCGCAGCGCGAACCGGCAAGGCTACCGCAGCAACGGCTGCTACGTGGACGGCTGGTTTGGTGGCGAATGTGGAAGTGGGAACCCTTACTACCTCCTGTGCGGCAGCTGCCGAGAGAAATACCTGGCCCTGAAGAGCAAATCTAAGACCTCTGCCTCTGAAAGGTATCGGGCACAAGAAAGGAAGCATTATGGGCTGCCTCTCTTTCTTGTAGGATTAAAACAAAAAGCGAGCCCTTAATCATGAAGAGTTGGACTTCCATGAGCCTGAGAGTGGGGTGCAATTCCGAGAAAAACTGGCCCAGAATCTCCGCCTGGCCCTGAAGCTCCCAGGCTTTGAGTGTTTTCGTCCTGCTCCGCTCAGGAGAGCATCTGGGCCAGAATCCTGTTGGGTTTCCTGGAGGGAAAAGCCTGGCCAGCCAGTGCAGCAACACGGGATCGTGTCCTTTGTGCAAGCGTTGCCGTCACACAGGCCGAGTACAGGTTTTCTTCCTGACAATGGCTGTTTGCATAACAGCAACATCTGTGCAAGGGGCACGCTCCTGGGGGACCAGCCGGGTGAGCGTTGCTACTCAGCCAGAAGCTCAGTGGGCTGCCGTCTCCAGGACTTGACCCTCCGCCATGCCCCCCCCCATGCCTGCCAGTGCACAGTGTCAGCTTTTACTGACGTCTTTGCCATGCATGGGCTGTCTGTGGCTGTTCAGATACTCTGAGCAACTTTGGACATTCATCGCGTCTCCTGATCCTCCGTGTAAGCACCAGCTTACAGCAAACAATCATCATAGCATCAGAGGGCCTGTCAAAACCAAGAAGAGAGCAGGCAGGCTTTTTGCGTCTGCCCTGGTGGAACTCCTGTTCTTTGATGGAATAATTGCCGAGATGTAAAAGATTACAGGCTGAGAGCCACGGATTGGAAGTTTATTTAAGCTCATGGAGTCTCTTTCCCTTTTCTTTGATACAGATATAAAGGCCAAGCCCCGGATCTGATCGGCAAGCAGGACAGCGTCTGTGAAGGTACTTCTTTATGTAGGTCTTTCCGATGGCACCCGGGCTGAATTCTAGCTTTCTTTCCAAGCCCCGTACCTGACCCCAGTTTGTTCGTGTCATGCTAGAGGACTGGGACATGTTGGATGTTGACGAGGACGAGAAGCTGACGGGTGAAGAAGAGTTTGAACTGCTGGCCGGGCCCCTCGGCTTGAATGACCGCCGCATCGTGCCCGAGCCCGTTCAGTTCCCAGACAGCGATCCGCTGGGGGCCTCGGTTGCCATGGTCACCGCCACCAACAGCATGGAGGAAACCCTGATGCAGATCGGTAGGCCTTCCTGCAAAGGGGGGGGGGAGCCACGGCCTGACCTCTTGCGTTCTTCTCAGGGGAGGGCGGGAGGTCGCCTGCTTTTAGGACTTGGAGTGACCAGAAGCCAGGAAGAGAGTCCGCGTACGAGGGGCTGCTTTCTCTTTTCCCTTCTCCATGTGAATCAGCAGCAAGGGAAGGGCCTGCTCGGGGGGGGTGGGGCTCAAGGAAAAACCAAGAAGGTTTCTTATGTCACACATATGAGAATATGGCACAGGGACTCCTTTACCATCTCAAGTGCAATCCCGGGAAGGCTGCTGGCTAGGTAAGAGGAGATTTTCAGTAACCCTTCCTGTGCCACAAGCTTCCTAGAGTAGACGGGCGGCCCCGGTCGTCCATTATCCCTCCTCTAAGAGTGGCCAATGAGACGCTCCAGGCCAGTTGCCGTTATTTCACTCTGGGTTTAGGAAAGTTAGGCTGGCCTGGCTCCTGTCTGGGGCATCTTGGAGTTGTAACTCTGGAAGGTAACTTTTCCAAGCTCCAACTGAGCTTGGTATAAAATGTGAATGTGTAGGGAGGCAGAGACCCTGCTGGGGTCAAGAGGGAGAGCTTTGTATGCCCTGTTTGTCTTTCCACTTTCCAGTGGTGGCCGTGGGGCCTTCACCGCAGCTTGCTTTGTCTCCTCTCCCTTCCCCAGGTTGTCATGGCTCTGTGGAAAAAAGTTCTTCTGGGAGGATTACCTTGGGCGAGCAGGCGGCTGCTTTGGTGAATCCGCACGACCGGGTGATGGCTTTGAGGAGGGTGACGGCTGCAGCCCAGGTCCTGCTGGCCCGAACGATGGTCATGAGAGCCCTCTCTCTGCTTTCTGTCAGGTGGGTCCAGTTCAGGAGGCCCCTCTTCGGTCTCTTCATGGATCCTGGAGAGAACTAGCGGGTTTGGTGGTTGGAGACAATCTCAGTCGCAAGCCAGTATCACACTAGCTGAAACATACTTGTGGTTGGTCTCGTACATTTATTTTGGGAAAGGGCCATGTTCCCGTAACAAAAGCATAGCTGAAACATACTTGTGGTTGGTCTCGTTCATTTATTTTGGGTGGGTTAAAACAAAAGACAAGGTATCACTAGGGAAAAGGGCCATGTTCCCGTAACAAAAGCAAGTTTTCAGAATTACGCAACAAAAATCCTGTTGCGTTGGTATGCATGCATAACATGAAGTCAGTTCTAGCTGGCAGTTCACAAGTTGTCGCTGGAATTCTCAGGGGTCCACGTGCGCCTGCTGGCTTGACTCACACTCAGGGGCTCATAGAATGCCAGTCAGAAGCATCTTAAGGTTACCCCTTTTGCATTCTGCATGCGTAGCAGACAAACAGGATTTCTGCCTGGGTGTGTTAATTTCAAAGTACAAGTTTCCCTAGTGATAAGGCTGGATTCCTTTTTAAAACGCTAATTCAGAACGTGGACACTCTTTTTACTGAGTGGCCTCTGGGGCCACAGACCCATGGGTGTGCTCTGACCTGCCCACAAGGAAGAAGGTTAATCCAAGGAAGCAAGGCTTGGTTTAGAGCCAGAGCTGCAAGCCCCCCCTCCCCTCTTCGTCTTGAACCACAGCTAGTCTGTGCAGCAAAGAGGCCTGGTCTGCCAGCTCTTTATCCTTCTTTTCTCTGGTTCTCATTACAAAGATGAGGATGTTTGGATCACATAGGTGGCCCAGGATGGGAAATGTTGAGCTTAGGCACCGCTCTTAGTCCACCAGGTTCCCCTCCCCTCCCTCTTCCTCAGAGATGGAGTCTGAGAGAACAGTCTTAGCAGGCACCGTGACCCCCAAAGCAGGATCCTGCTCTTCGTCCCACACACGGCTTCCACAAGGGTTTGCTTTTTAAAGTGGGCAGGCGTGTCTACGATGGGGGCAGAACAGCCTTCTCTCTTTCTCTCTCCCCGCGCAGCGGCTCCAGTTGCAGCCTTGCAGCAGGACTGGAATCCTTGGGTCTAACCGACATTCGGACCTTGGTCCGGCTGATGTGCCTGGCAGCGGCCGGGCGGGCGGGCCTCTCCACCAGCCCCTGCACTGCGTCGGGCGCTTCCGAGAGGTCTCGAGGGGTGCACCGTAAAATGAGCAAGCCCATCTCCTGCTTGGCTTACCTGAGCACGGCGGTCGGCTGCCTGGCGTCAAATACCCCAAGCGCTGCAAAATTGCTGGTTCAGTTGTGTACTCAGGTAAGACTGCTCTCTCTCTCTCTCTCCTTCCATTTTTGGCTCTCTCTAATAGAACAGCGTTGCAAGGAACACGGTATCATAAGAGCTCGTCTTTGCTAAAAATTATTATATTTTGTGTATTTGTCATGGGGCAGACCTGCAGGAGGACTGGGGTGTCGGGGTTTGGGAGCAGACCGTGGGGTCCCCGTTGCCCTCTGCTGCCTCCTTGCCTTCTTCTCCTCGGCATTAGCCTGGCCTGAAGCTCTCGCCAGCCCCTGGACAATTTATAATCTGCAAATGCCCATCATCTTGTGGTTTATAATTAACTACAGTTCCCTTGTAACATGAAGCACTGGGCTTGAAATGGCATACTTGAGTGTGTGTTTCTGAACCCCTTCACGGTGATGGCTTCTGTTCCTCCTCCTTTCTAGAACTTAATATCGGCCGCCACCGGCGTCAATCTGACCACCGTGGATGATCCGGTGCAACGAAAATTCCTGCCGAGCTTTTTGCGAGGAATCGCAGAAGAAAACAAGCTCGTGACGTCCCCCAACTTTGTGGTCACTCAGGCGCTCGTTGCCTTACTGGCGGACAAGGGGGCCAAGCTGAGGCCCAACTACGACAAAGCGGAAGTGGAGAAGAAAGGTATTTCTGCCTCCCTCCCGTGGTTCTCCCTCGTTTCTCACGGTTTTGTGGGTGGATCCTGGTTGAGAGTCCATTGGATTGGTTTTGGGGTTGCTACGTTTGTTTCGGCTTCTTCACGACGGCTGCTGTCATTCTGTGCAGGCAGAATTCTGTTCCGGGCTCTCCTCCGGGCATCGTCCGATTGTTCTGTCCAAGCAGGTCTTGTTGCCCCTTTTGTGTGCCCATCATCCTTCCTCTTGGTCTTTCTGCCGTAGGCCCTCTGGAGCTGGCGAACGCCCTGGCGGCTTGCTGCCTCTCTTCGCGGCTGTCCTCGCAGCATCGGCAGTGGGCCGCTCAGCAGCTCGTCCGGACGCTGGCGGCACACGACCGGGACAACCAGAGCAGCCCCCAGACCCTGGCGGACATGGGCGGGGACCTGCGCAAGTGCTCCTTCATCAAGCTGGAGGCGCATCAGAACAGGGTGGGTGGCCTCCCTCCCTCCAGACAGACCCCCTTGCCGGGCTTGCCAAAGGGGGAAGGGGTCTTTCTCCTCCGGGCACCTGCTGAATGAAGCGTGGCCCTGGTGCCCCCCCCGAGCGAAGAGGGGCAGGGAAGGGGCCCTTTCCCGAAAGGTCAGCTGGCCTTTATATGAGTCCTCCCGAAGCCCCTCCGCTCCTTCTTGCTTTTACAAAATCCCCACTCCACACATTTTATGAAGCCATTAGTAGAGATGTAAAATTTCCAGAAATTTTGAAGCCATGTAAAATGGCTTTGGAAAAAAATGGGGGGAAAAACACAGCCTGTTCGCCCCCCGGCCAATTTTTCCAGGCCCCCCCCCCAAGGCTTCCCCATCTCTAGCCATGAGAGAATCACCTGTGACAGGGCTGGGAGTTTGGGTGACCTTCCTGATGTTGATGATGTTCTTGTTGTGGTTGTTTTGGGTGGGGGTTAGAGTTACCTTTTTTGGGGATGTGATGCCTATATACCCGTACACCTAGGATCCTACTGAAAGGCAGAACATTGACAATTGAGTGTATTTCTGGAGAGCCAGCATTTACACATTTGATTAGCGAGTGTGTTCACAGTCTTTCATGTACTCGTTTTCTAAACAGGTAACAACTTGCGTGTGGTGCAACAAAAAAGGCCTTTTGGCAACCAGTGGCAACGATGGAACGATCCGGGTGTGGAACGTGACCAAGAAGCAGTACTCCTTACAACAGACATGCGTGTTCAACAAACTGTAAGCAACCCTTTCGGCTTAAAAGAGCAACAGCAGCTTATTTTTCCCAATCAATTTAACTTCTTTTCTGCTCGGTCATTTCTGTGCACTGATCATTCCTAATGATCTGGAATTGTGTGGCTGTTGCATCCTGCTAAGGGAGAGAGATTTGGGGGGAATAATGTCAATTTTGTATGTTCATGTCCAGCACACTCACCTGGGTGCTGCAATTCTTAGCAAACAGTCTTCATCTGACCTCATCTGAGTCTCTCTGTAAGACTCCTTCAAATGCTCTGAATTGTGAAAAAATGCACAAAGGTTTTGAAACAGAGATTATTATCGGGGGGGTAGGGCTCCCTTTCTGCATATTTTCCCAGTGACGAGAAAAGCTCGGCCAGTGGCGGCAGAGGCCATGTTGCCTGATGGACGAAGAGGTGGTTGAGGGACGGGAGCTGTCTTCACAAGCCCGTTGTCTGAAGTTGCCCTCCTTGCCTTCCTGACAGTCTTGGCCGCTCTTTCCTGTCCTGCAGGGAAAGTGACTCTGAGGAAAACCTGGGCTCCCCCAGCGATCCGAGCCTCTCCCTGGCCTGCTGGAGCGTGAGTGGCAAGTACCTGGCTGGCGCTGTGGAGAAGACGGTGAACGTCTGGCAAGTCAACGGTAGGAGCTGCGTGGGGGCGGCGGGCGGTGTTGGGCGTTACAGATCCAGAGAATTGGAGGGGGCCTGAGTGGTCATCCATTCAGATACACATCCCCCCCGCCCCCGCCCCAAAAAAACCCCAGCACAGGGTCGTTGTGGATGCCACTGGATTAAGTAATTCTGAGAATGTTTCAGCTTGAACTATGAACTGGCCGTCACCCGTGCTTTGTGGCCCAGAGATCACCAGGCATTCAGCATCCTTGTTGCTTCTGGGGGTATTTTGAGTCACCCAGAGCAGGTGTCCAAGTTCATGGAAACGAGGGTCTTAAAACTGAAAGAGCTTCAACTTCCCTCTGTGTCTGAAACCACATGGCACTGCTCTTCAGTAATACCTGCAAATGGGATGATGACTCATTGCATCTCGCGGGTATGCTCCTTGGAGAGTTGTTGCTTCCTCCTGGCCTCAGCTTACTGTTCAGGATCCCTTTGGCGACACCAGTGTAGGTCTTCAGCAGATTGGTTTTTCTGCTATTTTTCCTGAGACGGTCAGGCGGGTGTAAGACCATCAACAGCCGGGTCCCTGTGCTCAGCCGGCTTGAAGAGGTCCTCTCGTCCATGGCTCGCTGAGCCTCTGTGGCTTCGGACTGGACCGCTGGGGGAAGGGACGGAGTCACTCAGGCTTCGTCTCTAACCCCAGAACGGCGGATGTCCCTGTTCCTTTTGGCGAGCTCACCGGGGAAGCCAAACCCAGGGGAGACCCCTCAGGCCCACCCACAGACGCGCAGCAAGCCCCACCTGTCCTTCTGCTGCTCCAGAGGCGGGTTTTAGCCACTAGATTTGTCGTGATACTTCACGATACCATCTTATGTTTTAAGTTGCCGGAGTGGTTTGGCCAACCGTCTGTGGACAAGAAGCTGGGAGCGTTTCGCTAGGTTGGGTTCTTTTCTAGGAGTAGGATGATCTGTGTGTGTGTGTGTGTGGGGGGGGGTAATCTAGAGGAGAACAAGCGGAACGTTTGTGTCCTTAGGAGGAAAAGGTCTCCTGGACGTCCAGCCCCACTGGGTGTCTGCTTTGACGTGGCCGGAGGAAGGGCCCTCGGCGGGAGCCTGGACTGGAGAGGCTCCGGAGTTCCTGCTCGTCGGCCGCCTGGATGGGTCTCTCGGCCTGATCGAAGTCCTGGACGTTTCCACCCTGCGCCGCGTGGAGCTGGAGCACTGCTTCCGGAAGGACGGTACGAGGCCGCCAGGAGACGGTCTTTCTCCTTCCACAAAGCCCCCTCGCACACACACCCCGGGGTGCTTGGGTTCAAGTGCATCACCCGGCCCAGCGGGAACGGGGCCAGCCTCCTCGGAAGATTGCCCTCTCCCGTGGGGGCGTTTTTTGACGGCGCAGAAGGGCCGGATTGAAAGGGAACGGCGCTTGTGAGCTCAGTCTTGATTCTCTTCCCGTTTGCGCCCACAGTCTCCGTGACCTGCCTGGCGTGGTTTGGCGAGGACAGACCGTTTGCCGTGGGCTATTTGGACGGGAAGTTGCTGGTCGGCACAAGGGAGCCCGTGGAGAAAGGAGGCATCGTTTTAGTGGAGGCCCACAAGGTAATCCCTCCTCCCCCCCTCATAAGAAGTGGGCGATCGGTGGCCCTGGCTCTGTGGTTGACTCCACCTCCCTGTCGGTTCCAACCGGCTCTTGAGATTCCTGGGAATCGTCTGGACCGTTTTGCCCCACGGCCGCTGTGCTATCTAAGATCCAGGGGAGGGCCCCCATTGAGTTCAAGTAGAATAAAAAGCCCTCCCTATGCAGATTGTCTGCAGAGCTTTCTGGGGGGGAGCGGATTGCCAAGGCTGGAGAGGACAGAAGGGTGTGCTCTCTCACCCCCACCCCCACCCCCACCCCAATAGGATGTTTTCAGAGGGATCTGGCTTCTCCAGCGTCACTTTCATCTGCCATGGGTTGATCAAGCTGCCAGCGCTCCTCTTGTTCTTGGAAGCTGTAACCTGCCTGCTTCTTACCCCTCTGCTTTTTCAGGACACCATCCTCAGCATGAAATGGGACCCGACTGGGAAGATCCTCCTGACGTGCGCCAAGGAGGAGTCGGTCAAGCTGTGGGGACACATGGGGGGTGGCTGGCGGCACCTCTACTCCCTCTCCCATCAGGCCGTCGTCAACGCCATCGCCTGGTGCAGCCTCCCAGGGAAAGGCGCCCAGCCCCTGCTCCTGCTGGCTACGTGAGTAGAGACTCTCTCGGTCCTTTGCAGTCCGTTAGGCTTTTTGGAATATCCACACGCTGCATCCCTCCTCTGCGGGCTTCTGAGACACTTTTCTGCGTTTATTCCTTTTAAAAAATGTCTTGTTCCTTCAAGTGTACGTGTGAACGTCCTTAGCACCCCCGTGTGTTTTTGATCCTCTGGACGAGTCCCATATGATTTCTGCTTCATTTAAAAGGTGCAAGTGTTGAACTGAGACGTAGCCGTAATGATATTTGACACGGAGATCCCCACGTCCTAGTTTTTCTGTGGGTTGTGTTCTCAGCCTCCTACCCTTCTGGCACGAAGCCCCCCCCTCCCCGGTGGGGTCCGTCTCCTCTCCTCCCTTAGGGATGGAAAGAGGGAGGGGGCCGGCTGCCTTGTTTCCCTCTGCAGCCAGCGCTCTTTTGCCATTGGGGGTGGGGGGTGGGGTTGAAGAACACAGTTGGAAAAATTCCTAGGCCTGAAATCTCAAACAGAAAGGCCTGGATCCAGTCGCTCATCTCAGTGGGTTGGGACCCTTTCCAGCCCTTGAATCGTGGCGTCTGCTGAAAGTGGGACTAGCTGTTGGGCCTGGGTCTGGCATCATCCTTTTAGGGTGAGCGTTCATGGATTGTAAGGAGGCCAAGGGGAGTCTGCAGCAGAAGGAAGGAAGGTGGCCCTCAAAGCTCGTGCCAGAATATGGATCAGTTGATCTTTAAGGTGCCAGAGGACACTTTTCTCACTTAGGAACAGACAAACACAACTCTGAAATTTGCAAGGGAAATTACAAAGTGCACCATAGCCCACCTTTCTATTTTGCTGACTGACTGACAGGGTATACCCTTCACCCCTTCTTTCCTTCCTGTTTGTGTAGCGGATGCCAGAATGGCTTGCTTTGCGTTTGGACGGTTCCCCAGGAGGAGCGGGTCTTGCTGCAGTCGAGTCTGAATTGTTCCGAGGGATGGTGGGACGAAGACGCCGGCAGCAAGGCGAGTATCACGGGGGCAGCAATGTTGGGGGGGGAATGGGAGGAGGGTCTGAGCCTCTTCCTGCCGCCCTTGTCTGAATGGGGGCATTTAAGAAGCAGTAATATTTTATTTATTTACCTGAAGAGATCCAAGCAAAGCTGGGGGTTAATAAAAGAAAAATCCACCCTGTCTTTGCAGCGTTTAAAGAATGATGTAGTTGATTTGGTGCTTTTTCCATCAGCGTGCCTTTCTGTAAATCTGTCTAATATTATCTTTGCTGGGGAGATCAGCTTGTTCCTGCTTCTTGAGCTTGTAGGTTATACAGGGGTTTAGGGCTGAGTCCTGCTACTTGATAGGTTCATAGTATAAATATTTCATTTGGGTTTTTTTTAAATCCTAAACAATGCCCTTTGAATTCCCAGGAGGCCTACAGAAAATCAGCTGCGGACGCCAAGTGCATTTATCAGTTGAAAGGCCATATCACTCCTATTCGGACTGTGGCCTTCAGTGCGGACGGACTGGCCTTAGCGTCGGGAGGACTCGGGGGGCTGATAAACATTTGGTCTCTGCGGGTAAGCAGGCGTCGGCGTTCAAGTAAATGGAGGCAAACCCTCTTTTCCGTCGTTCTTGCAAATGCAGCCGTTGTAGGTTTTTCCCCTTGGGCACTCACACAAGCAGGCAAATAATATAAGTGAGTTTAATAGTGCTGATTTCTCCCTTGTGATTACTGAAGCGGGCTTCTGTGCTTCAATCATCGGCCTCCTGGTTTTCCTTTCCTTTTAGGATGGCTCAGTTTTACAGAGTGTTGTCATAGGCTCTGGAGCTGTTCAGACCACCGTCTGGATTCCTGAAATTGGAGTAGCTGCATGTTCCAGTCGATCAAAGGTACGGCTCAGGTTGGGTCGAATGCCTCTGTCCTCCCTCCACAGCGGGACTCTCTCGCCCCAGGGCGGCCTGCCTCACCTTCGCTGGCCTGTCTGCACGGCTCCCCTTTGCACTCACACGGCTACCCTCCATGGAGCACCAAGGGCCGGCCTCCCAGCTGACCCTGCCTCCGGCCGCCCTTCTGGACACTGTGGCCGGGGGGCGGAGGGAGGGGGGCTCTTGCCCCTTCCACAGTTGCATCGCGCTCTTCAGAAAGCTTCCAGGCCATCCTCTGAGAGAGAGGCTTCCCCCGACTGCTGCTTGCAGGTTCGGCCAGCCGCGTGGGCTGAACATGGCTCCTTGTATGAGGTTCAGGCTTGCCACGTGGCTTCTTCGTCCCTGCCAGGTCTCACAAGCCACGGACCCGTCCTGTCCCAGGGGCCTGTGGCTTTCCAGAACGTGGTGGCAACAGCCCGTTGAGCTTCTCTCCAGCGGTGTGGATGAACAGTGTTTGTGTGTGTGGGGGGGTTTTCCTCACTCAAGACTCGGAAACATCTTCTCCTTCATGGCAAAGGGCAGGAGGGCTTGCAGGTTCCCTCGGTTGCCACGAAGGAGCCCTCTTGCGATAAAGGACTTTTCACAGGTTCAGAGCTGGCCTCCCTCTCCCTTGCGTGGAGCGGGATTCTGAGTAGACCCAGAGAAGACCGAAGGCCTTGAAAGTAAGAGAAAGGAAGGATTTTCTAAGAAAGGGATCCCTTTTGCAGTTTAAACCACCAGCCGTTCAGAGTAATAGAAATCATGTGATTGCTACCCAAGAGCGGTGGGCGTTTCCAAAGGTTGGTAAACCGTCAGCGAGCTGGTATCCGTAGCTGCGCTTTCCTGAACTGGGCGTGTTTACCTTTTCATCAGGATGTCTTGGTGGTCAGTTGCACGCCGGACTGGATCTCTTCTAACCACGTCCTTGCCACGTGCCGAAGCGCTTTGAAACAGCAGGGCATTATTGGGCTGAACATGGCTCCTTGTATGAGGGCTTTCCTGGAACGCCTGCCCATCATGCTTCAGGAGCAGTACGCTTACGAGAAGGTAGGAGCGAGGGGACGACGGGTCTTCGCCTTTGCCCGGCCTGGGTGGGTGCTCTTCCGTGGGGCAGGCCAGGGAACAGGGTTTGCAGAAAGGCTGGTCTCCGCCAGCACCTTCCGTGTCCTTCCTCTTGGGGTTCTCCAGGATGTCTTTAAGCAAAGAAAATAAAACCCTGGACGTTGGATCCTCTTTGGCATTATTGTGAGATAAGCAAAACCTTTTGCCCGATTCCTCTTGCTTTGGGGGAGAGTAGCTTGCTTTTCTATATATGTAAGCTTTTGATACAGAAGGTATTTTCTCACAAGTCTGCCAGGTTGTTGAAAGCCAGGTGGGTTGTGCTGATGGACATGGCCATGTTAGAGGTCCTCCGACATGAAAGAAAGGCACAGTGGCTTTGAGTCGTTTTCATGTCTTTCTTCCTGGAAATCACTTTTGGGGGAGAAACCCAGAGGTCATGGCTGGAAACCAGAGGTTTAGCATTGGGACCTCGCCTGCGATGCCCTGCAGGGGTAAACTCGGATAAACTTCTCTCCCCGCCAGCCTTACGTGGTTTGTGGCGACCAGCTGGTCCACAGTCCGTACATGCAGTGCCTGGCCTCGCTCGCCGTGGGGCTCCGCCTGGACCAGCTCCAGTGCCACCCGCCCGTGGCCCCTCACCACCGGAACAGCCCGCCAGACCCTTCGGCTTGGAACCCCAATGAGTGGGCTTGGCTGGAGTGCTTCTCGACCACCATCAAAGCAGCGGAAGCTCTGGCCAAGGGGGCCACCTTCCCCGGCTCCTTCACGGTCCCGGACCTGGAGCCTGTGCCGGAGGATGAGCTGGCCCTCCTGATGGTAAGAGGTCCAGCCTGGAGTTGGCGGGGGGGGCAGGGGGCAGGAGGATCCTGTTTAAGTTGCAACAGAACCCCAATATGCTGCTCCTT